ATGAATTTGTTACTGCTGCTCATTTATGCATGCAAACAAATATAGAAAAAGAAGATATTTCTATCATTAGAAGAAAATTAAAAAGTTTTTATAATCATATTTCAAAGTAAGTATATAAATATATTTATATACTATAAACTGTTATTATTCTTATTTATTTATATATAATTTATAGGGATTATGCAAATATCAATGAGGAAGATCAATCAAATATTTTTTTAATATCTTTTCACTATTTATTATATGTAGTTAAAAGTATAGAAGATTTTAGTCCATGTATAAGATATTGGCAATTTCCAATGGAAAGAATGTGTAGAATGCTAATTCCATTAGTTAAATCTCAAATACATCCTTATGCAATTCTTTGAAATAATATAATTTTAAAAGAACAATTCAATCATTTAAAATTTAAAGAATTATATAAAGAGATATTTCCATATAAAGAAGAAAAGATATAGGCTTCTTATAGAGTTTTTAGTTCTATTTTATATGATGAATATAAATTTTATTCATCATCCAAAAAATATGTTTTAACTTTGGCAAAATTAAAAAAGTTGAAGGATATTTATACAGCTATATACAATGTTAATATACGGACTATTGAGGTAATATTACAATAAAAGATTATAATTAATTAAGGATTTTATGTTTAATTTATTTTTTGAATTAATTTAGAATATTTCTTCAAATGCTATAAAATATGGGAAGTTAAGAATTAAAGATGGTTATATCATAAGTTCTAGATGGATATCAAAAAATAAAATAAAAAGTAAAAACAATCATTCTGTATTTGTAAGTATTAGATTTTATTTATTAATTTGATTAGATTTATTAAAAAATATTAAATTATTTAATTCATTTTATTTCAGATTAACATTACAATTGATAAAAATGCTCATCATATAAATACAAGTAGAAATCTTATACAAGAAGAAATATATACTGAAGTAGCATAGTAGAATTTCTTTAAAAGGTTACGAGTTATAATGATCCTTTTTATATTATTCTATTATAAAATATATAAAATATATATGAAAATCGTAAAATATATCGCATATACAGTGGCTTTTTTCTCACTAAGCTTTATGAAAAAAAAATTTTACAAATATCGAAATAACCTTTCATTTGCTTTTTTAATAGTAGAGATCAAATTAGATCTGGTTGATTTTGGGAGTAATTTAATAATTAAAAATGACGAAAAATTGTTATTAACGAACTATATCATTACATGAAATTTAATTTAGGTGAAAATAAAATAGATTATTGTATTATTTTTATTTCTTTTTTTAATTATTCTCTTTATATTTTCAATACTAATTAGAGTTACTAATTACAAATATTTGCCAACTCTTTTTCTATCATTGTTTCTATAAGTGTATCTTCATTAATTACTTCTATTTCTTCTTCCTCCTCCTGAACTTCTTTTTCCTCTCCTTCCAAATTTCTATCTTCTTCAGTAAGTGTCATAGAGCCTTTTTCTAATTGATTTAAAAAGGATTTAACATTTGTCTCAATCTCTTTCTTATAGTAATCTTCACAATACCTACACTTATATTCTAAATGTGCAAAGCAACCCCAATGATAACCATGATCACAAATTAATACTTCACCATCATACATATGATTATTTGCAATAAGTGGTTTATTGCATAAGTCACAATTATTTGGTGAAGGCAGATGTGTTGTATTAAATCCAGTTGGTAAGTATTTAACATTAACAATAGCATCAAGAGCAACTAGTTTGTAAAGAGGATAGTACCTTTGTTCAACAATATGGCTTTGACCTTGTGTGATAAATACTTTTTGGAAATGTTGAAGTAGAAATACTGTTGTTTTTTTGGTAA